CAGCAAATTTAAATTTCGTTACTAAATTATATAGGTATCATTATAGAAAGTACATAAGAGTTATGGGTATAGCTTATGAGTCTTTGTATGTACCAGTTGCTACTGTGGAATCAGAATTTGATAAGGTTAGTGAAATTTCTTACATATATTGTATATTTTTGTCGAATGACTTTTTATTTTAAACACTCATTATTATGTAATAAAGACGTCACTAAATTAAAACAGTCTGGGATATCATTCGATGATATGAGACCTGAATGTACTTGAATTCCATTGGATAACAGTATTTCTACTGATGCTAAGATATTATCTATTACATCACTAAACCATTAGGTGTAATTCTACGCATATTTGTGACTTGACATTGTTAATCTCACTAGATAAAGAAAATCCTACCTGATAGTTAGACTTATTTATGAAATAATTTACTGAAAGGTGATTCGCAGTGGAATCCAGGAGGCAGATTTCGTCCCATTTAGGACTTGTCATCCGGATGCACCTATATTCCCCAGTAAGGGATGCTGTTCCCATCCTGGATTCCACTGCTGATCACCATTCACTAAATTACTTTAAGTTAAATCCTTAGACATCGTCGAAGCATCCGCACAATTAGCTGACATGCCAACATGAGGCTGAACACTTCGGTCCAGCCAGTCACAAATTAAATTATGTATGAAATGCCAGCGTCCGAAGTTAGCAGAAGACCTCTTTTATGACATTCAAAACGATATCCATCTAATTAAAATACTAATACTTTACAAAAACACGGAATAAAGCCATGTTGCATTATGATGGAAGACAAAATCATATAAGATGTAAAGATAATATTAGGCGTATAAGAAATCCACTCTAACTTTCATCTGGTACGCAAATAACTGACGCCTAAGAATAGCTAATCTTAATCTTACCTACCAAAGTATCAACCTTCAATAATTACAAAATAAACCATCAATCTCCATTTCATCACTTAGGAACAAAGTTACGCCACACCTCTTCTTAGTTTCTTTCACCGTTGATAAAAACGTAAGTGGCAACAATTTTTGATTCAGTTTCTTTTCTTTTATTGCCTCTAGAAATATAAAACGTAAGCTGAATTCTTCATCGTTTCACACATAGTCAGAAAATTAGTAGTGATAGGCTCACTACAGATATCCTTTCTTTTCCCGGTCATTGTTTCAATTCTGTTAAAAAAAAGAATTTTAAATTCAGTGCCACTTCCTTTAAATGATTGCTAAAGATTCACTGGGATAGATTTAGTTTAATTCTGGACATTTGTGTCATTGTAATGTAGTCAAAAAATAATTATTTAAAAGACCTTTAATGTGAGAAAGACAATATCTTTCTTTTTAAGATCAGTTTCGGAGAAAAAAAAGCCTAGATTTGCGTGATTGTTTTAGTTTGTTTCAATACTTCCTGGAATCCTCTGAGTACAGTCAGAATTACTTTATATTTAGCCTGTGACGTACGTCGTGATCTATACTACTAGAATAGTGAACAGACCTGTGGTTCACCAACCGTTTAACCTGTTGTTTTCCGAACCTAGGCTACATAAGTTCGCAAACTCCTACACACATTTTACATGCAGCTGGCTGTATGTTGATGTGGCCTACAGACTTATACAACACTTAATTCGGATGTTGATTCACTTGTCACTGTTTCTAGATGGCCAGACAACCCTGTTATTCCACACACACACACACACACAATAGGTGTAACTTTTTGCAGAATGTATTAATAGATAAGTGACTGCTGAATAACCACCTTTTATTTTGTCGACTTTTCTCCTTACAGATCAACGAAATGCAAGCTGCGGAAGTTCTTTTATCATTAGCCAAGGGAACATGTAATAACTGGTCAATATTTACACAGAATGTATCATCAATAAATCAAAATTCCTACTTTTCAACAAATCATAAAAATATTCTAAAAGAGTCAAGTGTAGCAGATGAGATGAAAGTAAAAGCTGATGAAAATAATGATGATTGTAATAAATCCTCTTATATAAGCACATTGGATAGAAATTTACATCGGAATTTAAAATTTAAACTTCATCGAATTAAATCTTCAAGATCATCACCTAATATTAAAAGATTATATCAAATACCA